AAAAGCTGTTCCAAGCAGAAGCCCGGAGTAGTCCCGACGTTGTCTCGTCCATCGACGCTTCCCGTGGACCTCATCACGAACGAAAGGTAAGTCCTTGTCTTTGTTCATTGTGAATGTTGAGAATATTGTGTGGGTTTGAAGAATTATGGTTAACTTCCATTGTTTAAAATTGGGCAGTGTTCCAGGGAAGATGGGAGGTGACGACAACCAACGCAGAATTCATTCGTGAGGATCTCTATAGCGAGCACCATCTCCAGATGGAATGAAGGTCTGAGGTCTATTGCTGACGCCATCTCTAGAGAGGGTGAAGAACTGAGGGCACCGTCACTGGTGCAATATCTGTAAGGGGATGACGAACTGATAACCCTGTCGCAGACGCCAACTCGATGGGGAAAGCATTTTGAGGGTTCCGTAGCCATTGCCTTTTCTGGAGGGGAAGACGGTTTGATGACCCTAATTCTCGCTGGAGCCTTCGCTCGCAGGAAGTGGGAATCGGCCCCGGTTTTGGAAGCATGTGAATTTTCTCTCTGTATGAAGTCAATATAAAATCCATGAAGCCATCCATCCATGCAGCCATGCAAAACGCTTCACATCTTATTCCCCTGACCGCGTCGTGCAGGAAGCATGTATTAAAAATTGAAAATGCGATGATTCCAATTATCAAAGGCAACTCGACGCAGTGGTCCGTATTACAGCATCATCACCTTTGTAATAACATTTTGTAGAAGTACAGTTTCCAAGACTCTTAGGATTTTTTTTTTGGTTGTCATCTTATCACCCAGAAGGACGCGATTTTCAGGGTTCTCCAACTCAAAAGAGGAAATTAACATTTACTCCCATCACTTTCACTCACTTTCCCATCCTCTGTAAGGTGGAAAATTTTTAGAGTTGATACAAACTGTATCTAACCCTAACTCTTCTGCGTCATTGAGTTTCTTCAAGTAATTATTTAGACTGAACGAATGCACTGACGTCACATTCACCGAGCATTCAAGTTGCAGCCCATGACTCATGATGACTCATGAGTCATCTTCATTCGTATCGCAGGAAATCGCCGACGGAAATTTACAGCCCTTGAGGAAAGGAATCGAATTGAAAAAGTCTGTCTAGAGTTGCTTTCATTTTGTCTTGTGCACAACGAGAAAGACCTGTAAGAATGTCAACTTTTTATGGCAAAAAGAATAGATTGATGAATTCCTTAATTTTTGTACTGTTTCATAATAGGGAATAAAGAAAACCGCACAACCACCTCCCCCACTCCCAAGGGGTCACGCCCGCAAGATTGAGAACGCTTGATACGAGATTTATACATGCTCTGAGGTGGTTGGCAAGGGTGAATGGGACGAGAATGAGCCATGTGGAAAGGAAGCCGGAAGTAGGGGAGATGGGAAGGGAAGGGGGAGTGTCAAGGTCGACCAGCTTGATACGAGATTGATACATGCTCTGAGGTGGTTGGCAAGGGTGAATGGGACGAGAATGAGCCATGTGGAAAGGAAGCCGGAAGTAGGGGAGATGGGAAGGGAAGGGGGAGTGTCAAGGTCGACCGGTGCATGGAAGGAGGAAAAGGAGGATATAAATGCTGTTCCAAGCAGAAATCCAGAGTAGTTCCGACTTGGTCACTCTTCATCACCGCCATCCGTCGACCTCATCACGATCGAAGGGTAAGTGCTTGACTGTTCATTGTGGTTTTTGGAAATATGTTTCAGATGCGAGGTATTGTGGTGAATTTCCGATGTTTAAAATTGCACAGCGGTTGCAGGGAAGACGGGAGGCGACGAGAACCAATTCAAATCTCGTGCCATCTCTGGAGGGTATGGCGAACCCTGAGATCCCTATCGCTCGCAGGCGGCTCCTCTCAGAGGAAGGGTGAAAGAGCCAACTGCCACAGCCGTGTTGGAGGGAATAAGGAATAACCCCGCATTCTTTAATGACGCCCTGGATCTCAGCTTCTCCCTGTGAGTCCTTTTTTTGACGCTGGTTCTTTGAGAAACCTTTGTGCATGTTTCCTAAAAACAGCGAAGATACAAAAACAAATTTTCCGAGTTATTATGAACCCTCCTTCAACGAAAATCGTTTCTTGAATTTCCCTTCGACAGAAGTGTTGCCAATTTGTCGCACGAGCCAACATATGAGAATAGGTCCGTGTGGATTCGGGGTGATATATTTATTTAACCTCCGTTTCAAGGGAGCACTGCGCTCGCCTATTATTATTAGATTCATTAGATTATATTGTTAGATTAGATTCATTTCATGTGGGAGCTGCGGCATGTGGGATATTTCTTGTCTAGTTCGCGGAAAAGCGGTCAAATTGGAGAAAGTTGGCGGAGATGGGGGGTGAGGTGTGAATCATAGTCGTTGGGCCTGAATTCCCAGGAATGGGGAGGGAAATTTCCAGGAATGGGGGATCTTCATCATTCGGTCTCGTCTGCTGTGAACGAGAACTTTCCTCTCGCTCTTCGCCGGAGACGTATCGGGATTCAGATAGCCTTGCATGACATCTCTTTTGTACTCCACAGCTTCCTTTTCCTCCTAAGACGCCTTCAAAGGTAAGTAAGGCAAAGGACCTCAGCTCGACCATTATAGACCATTATTATTATCGACCATATATATAGAGTTGTTCGGTCAACCCGGTCAAAAGACCTGTCATGTAGATATTGGGAGGAACTGACGATGCATGCGATCACCACGTATTCGAGCCGGATCGTAGACAACAGTCAATGTTAACCATTTATCGTTTAACTATGCTTAGAATTAAGGAGCGTCACATACCTAGATGGCAATGGCTCGGGGTCTCCAATCCTGAGAATGGAGGGGCCAGAAAAAGAAACAGAAAAAGGTCCCTGCGCAGCCGGGTTTCGAACCTTGGTTCCCCTTCACGTGCTTCCACAGAGCTACTAACTTAACCAAGTTTCTTTTCCGACTCTAGACTCCTCCTTGCTTCCCACGCCTTTCGCGAGGCCGAGCTGAGAATTCGATCCTGCAAAGGCACATCCTTGTATGATAAGTAATATTTGTATATAAAACTCCGAGTCGATATATCGCCGCGTTTGGCCGGTAAAGCTGCCACAAACACGCATCCGCGAACAAACGTTCGGCCTGGCCAGCGGTCAGAATAACGCGCTATTTTGTATGTTACTTCGCAACTCCGGTTTGAAAAACTACAACGTAGAAAGGACGAATACAGAGCTCTGGTGACATGGGAGGCACGACAACGAGAGGCTTTCCACGCTTTATAATTCTTATTAGTCACATTCATGCAAAGTTTCAGCTTTCCATGTTCATCAGTTTAACTAATGCAAAAAAGTAGTTGAAAACATCTTCCTTTGAAATGTGTGCACTCAGGGCATTTACATCCAAAGTCTGAAATTTTCTGCAGCATCCCAATAGGTAGTTATGTACCAAGTATCATATTTCCATACTAGCTCATTATGCCAGGACAAAAAAAAATATTGAAAAGATTGGTTACAAAAATATGCCACCAGGACATGTACCTAAAACTTTGCATTTTCACCACCAACAAAGTCAGTTATGGCTGATTATGGAGAAACTGACGCGATGAAAATAATTATCTAAATTTGTCCCAAAGTCGACATAACTACTGCTAATACTGTCAATGTCCATCTTTATCTGCGAGATTCGTCGGAACAAAAAAAAAATTACTTTTGAGAAGACGATCCACTGGATAAGAATGTGCTCCCAGGGCGTGTACATAAAAAGTCGGATTCTTTCCATACGGACAGATAAAAGAAACCTGTTCCATTTGTTTCCGAAAGAAATGTATTCTTCTTCGAAGAAAATTCTTTCAGGAAGGGAAATTGATCAAGTTCCGAATGCCACCCGACAATCGCGAGATGGACCCATCTCTCCAATCGCGTCTCATTCGCGTGGAACAGCCGTCGACGGCGGCGAGTCCACTGAGAAATCGCAGGCAGACGCACGCATCCTCTCGCCGTATTTCCTCGCGTTCAATCTACTGCGGAAGTGCATCGAATGCATCTAAGCCTGCCTGGGATCGCTTCGGTTCTACTAATGTGTCTCGCGTCTCGGCGAGGCAATCGACGTGGGAGCATCCTCTCGCCGTATTTCCTCGCGTTCAATCTACTGCGGAAGTGCATCGAATGCATCTAAGCCTGCCTGGGATCGCATCGGTTCTACTAATGTGTCTCCGTCTCGGCGAGGCAATCGACGTGGGGTTGTTGCGCGGAGACTTCTTCGTTATCGAATCGATGTGTTTGCTATGGGTTCCCTAATTTAGGGTAGATGCCGCAATCGCCTTCTCGATTGCGTTCCTGAGTCCAGCGATGAATGTCATAAACTAATTGGCCTCACCTTTGCTATCGTGATTATGGAGGGCATCTGCCCCGTGTTGGCAACGATACGATAGCGTGCCGTTATTGGATACTGAAGCATCAGAAACGAGGTCATACGAGTCTGCATCGCCAGTATACTGGTTGTATGATAAGGTACTCCCTATATTAAGATTATTGTAACTCTTTTTTCAAACGAAATTTAATGAAACAAACTGAATTATGCACCAGTTAGTGAGGCTTTTATTCCTCTAATCTTCACACTTCCACGTATGGTCCTGCACTGTCAACACATTTCCTTAAGCGAACAGGCATATTTCCCACAGCTGATCGTAACATGTGTTCAGGTACGTTATGAAGGTCTTTGTTGATTTTTTCTTCAAGTTCATAAAGATTTCATTTAGTTCACAAAGAACGCGAGCCTGCACGAACTGATTCACCAGAATTCTTGTAAACATTGCGTTCAGTTTTTCCATGTTTTCCGGTGTTTGCGAAATTGATGGTCGTCATGATTTGGTCTTGTCTGTTACTGAACCGGTTGTTATTAACTTCGGATGACATTAATTTCTTGTCTTAGCATCCAGTGTTGCATGAGGACCATTTTCGATCCTTCACCATCGCCGAACTTTACTTGCTGATCCCCAAACCTCGTAACAGGCAGCTATTTTGACCGTTCCTTAAACTGTTATTCTGTTAGCCATTCTTTAACCTGAAACGAAAACACAAACGAAAATGAAAACCCAACAAATTGGTGCATAAGTCACAGTTTGTTTCATTAAATTTCGTTAACAAATTTTGGTTTTGTTAACAAAACAAAAGAGTTACAAGCATTTCAAAATAGGGAGTTACTTATCATACACCCTGTACACTGCCTGAAGACACGCATCGATGCATTACAGAAACAGTCATCTGTAACGAATAGAAATAGAAGTGCCATGAAAAAATATGTGTGTATTATTAATAATTTGAAAATCAATTTTCAAAGGTTTTTTCTTTCTTCAACCTCAACCTCATTAAAATGTATATTCATAAAAATGGCTCATATTGCATCATTTGATGATTTTTTTTATTCATAAGGATTTTGTGCTCTATGCGGTTCTGTTATCAAGGTTGACAGCATTTTCCCCAACGAAGCTGTAATTTTTTCACAAGATGATGTCAAGCTTAGTATCTCTTCAATATTTCCCCCATTGCCCACCCATTCAGCTCGAGACGTTTAAATCTGAATAAATGTTGCAGATCTCGTGGGATCCTCTGCTTGGCATTCCACGAGCATTCTCATTTGACCGGTAAAATTGGAAAAAGCATCATCCACATAAAATCATTTACTTGAGGCACACGATCCACTTCATCTGAATGATTTTCAAGTTTTGAATTTGCTGTTATACTTATTGCATGGGTGCAAGACCCGCCGCGAGCAAATGGTGATAAATTTCGATAATTATAACTCATGCAATCTTCAACCTGCACAAGACATTACTTGGTCTCAACTTTGAAAACAGAAACGCTTGAATTTCATCTGCTTCGTCTTTGTTGAACATACTTAATGAGGCTACACATCAAAGGCAAGATTCTTTGTTGCAGGAATCCAATCCCAGTCTTGAAGACTCGAGACTTGAACCAACCGGCGGCTTTTTCCAAGTTCTTCTGGACCCCAAGGAAGGAGGTCCCCAGGTAGAGCCCGAGTATTCCTCCCATGTCGGCGGAATACTGTGGAAGCGACGTCAGCTCCAGCTCGTCTATTACCTCAACCTGAAGCGAATTAGATTAGGAACTTTTCATTCAGATGCAAGGACACCGGATGATTTTTTACCGTCGAGGTCGTTGGAGCATGTTACACGGCATTCATTGATTGCAATCCTTTGCTCGAGCTGAATAAGGGAAACGTCTTTAAGGAATTTTCAACAGGAGGAACTCACATCGGGGATGGGGATGTTCATCTTCATCACGGCAATTTGCGGATCGCAAGGAAGATGTGGGTAATCGAGTTGGAGCACGTTATACGTCGTCCTGTTGCATTTCCTCAGACATCCAGGATCGAAGTTCTCTTGCACTACGTTGTGGTAGTAGTTCAAAAGGTCTTTTTCGTCCTCGGAGGTGTTGCACTGGCGCTGCATCCCCGGCTCGGCGTGTTGGCTCGGAAACGCTGACGGCTTCACGCACGGGGCTTCCTTCGTCAAATTCTCCGTCAATGCCGTCTCCAAGCACTATTTGTGAGGATTTCATATATTTATGATCCATATTCCTCATATACTCATGCGAGGGGACAGGAGGGCTGATATGGTTGGGCTGGAATTACCTTCTTGTAGTCGTAGCTCTCGTCCGGATTGCACTTGTTTCTTATAGGCAAGAAATTGTAGTTCTTCAAGGAGAGACTCAGCATACAAGTCCTTCCACACGTGAGAAAGTAATTCTGTCCTGAAGACGTGACACTCCTCATTGATGTGAACGGTACTTCTTGCGAATCTATGCGAACCTCGTAAAAGGGCTCGCCAAAATCACCGGATTCATCAAAGGAGTCTGTCATATTTAGAGCGAGTTCCATTACAGGGTTAGTGGAAGGTACAGGCATTTGGAGCGATGAATCAGCATTAAAAGAGTAGCAAACTTTCAAAGGCGAATCTTGGCCTTGCCAATTCAAGAACCACGACTCTCTCCAGTATCCCGCTGTGAAATGTTGAGACGCTCTTGTTTCCATATAATTCAAGAAAATAAAACAAAAGGGCATTGAGCGGACTTACCATCGGTCTCGTAGATCCGAGTACCATTGATCCATGTCAAGGCATTAATAGAACATGAAGCATAAGCCGTCGGGTGATGGATATCACAGTAAGCAACGATTTTCGAAAAGTCCGTCAA